GATGTTGGAGCGGACATATCCTTCTCTGTCCTTGCACAAAATGACGTCATTGTTTTAGATGATCATCCCTGCACTCAAAGAGAAGAGCACTAGGTCACGTCCTATCTATTTGTCTATCTCTACATCTAGTATCTATTTGTGGTGGCCCAATGTTGCTATTCAAAAGACTTTTTAATGGCTGCATCGATCGACATGCGGTTTTCGCCTATAGATTCTTTAAAATATTCTCCAGATCATGACGCCCTTGGTTTTTTCAGTTTTGAGACAGTTTTGCTGCAAAAAGCTAAATTTCTTTATTTCGCCGATCGCTTTTGTATGCCGACGCTTCTGTCTCTGTAATTTTAGAAAATCCAGAAATGATAGTTCGCGAGGCGCATTTTGTTTTGAGAGTATAGATCTAGACCTTCTAATTTCTTGCATCTCTCAAGATTTATTGCCCCATTCCAGTAGTGTGTAAATATAGTAGGCCAATTATTTTTAGTTGATATTTAAGCACTGATCATTCCTTTCATCGAAAGGGGGCTCAGCTAGTATTATTATATTTGTGAAAGTCCGTCACTTTGGCAGCCTAAAATTCCCAACCACTTAACTTTCGAATTTGAAAAAATTATTAGTGGTTCAGAATCATTCAAAGGATGTACAGTTTTATAAATGAATTTGAAGTCACTGTAGTTTAATTTTCAGTTTTTCATTAGTTTCGTTTAGATTTAATCTTGGGAAAGTCTGTCTTCTAAGACGCCATTGTAAACAAGTGAGGTTTCCGTTCACTAACCGTGCGCACTGTTACCACACCTTTGAAATTCTGGAGTGTACAACCACGTAAGCAGAATAGAGAATCAATCTATACATCTATCATTTATTGGCAACTGGAAACACATGTGTCACTTTTCTCTCAAGATTTATTGCTCCATTCCAGTAGACTGTAAATATAGTAGGCCAATGACTTTCAGTTGATGTCAATGCACCGATCATTCCTTTAATCAAAAGGGGGCCCTGCTAGTATATTATATTTGTGAAAGTTCGTCACTTTGGTCGCCTAAAACTTCCGAACCATTTCACTTTCAAAATTGAAAAAAATTGATTGTGGTTCAGTCATTTAAAGGCTGCACAATTATAGTAAGGAGTCTGAAGTCACTGTAGTTTTATTTTCAGTTGTTCATTAGTTTCCTCTAGATCTAGGCCTAAGCTTGGGAAAGTCCGTCTTCTAAGACAAGCGAGGCTTCCGTTCACAAGCTGTGCGCACTGTTTCCACAATGACTTGACAATCGATTCTTTTGAGTTCGTTCATCGAACGGGCACGCAGCTAGAAGAATCATAACGACTTTTGCTGACTTTAACGTTTATCCCAGGCCTCTGATGCCTTGTGGTGTCGAGGGGAGAGGTAAATTGTGCCTCACGTCTTTCTGGGACCATAGATGGGAAGTGTATGGTGTGGGCTGGCCCACGAGGCAGCTACTGTAGCCATGGAGTGTTTGGTGTGGGCAGCTACAGCAGCCATGAAGTGTATTGTGTGGGCTGCTACTGTAGCCATGAAGTGTATGGTGTGGGCTGCTAAAGTAGCCATGAAGTGTATGGTGTGGATTGTCCCTAGAGGCTGCTACAGTAGCCATGGAGTGTATGGTGTGGATTGTCCCTAGAGGCTGCTACAGTAGCCATGGAGTGTATGGTATGGATTGTCCCTAGAGGCTGCTACTGTAGCCATGGAGTGTATGGTGTGGGCTGCTACAGTAGCCATGAAGTGTATGGTGTGGACTGCTAAAGTAGCCATGAAGTGTATGGTGTGGATTGT